CTGTCCCAAGGGCATTGTCCTGTTGGATAGTGGCTGGACAGCACCTTCTCGAGTGGCGCATCCTTTGTCACTGTGAACACAAACCCTCCCTGCACCGACCTCGCCCTGCCTTCTGGCTCCCCAAGAGAAGGAGGCCGCTGGGAGCAAGGAGCAGCTGCAGCTCAGAAAGGGCTTCAGCCTGTGCTGCCCAGGACACCTTGGATCCCACCCAGCGCGTGGAGACACCACCAGGAAGGCCTCTGAGGACACAGCACCATCTTTCTTTTAACCTTCTTAGTTCTAGGTGCGCATAGTCCTTACGTGTATTTACAGGACATGTGTAACATTTCAGTACATGGATACAACACGTAATGGTCAATCGGCAACTCACAAAGCCGTCCACCCAGACAGTCACTGTCCCTGTCTGTTGAGGACATCTGATGACTCGCTAGCTTTCAATGTCCAGTTAGTTGTTGACTACCATACTGTGGAAAATCATCAGCTGGCCCTCCAACCCTGCTGCACCCTGAGACCCAGTCTTGGGTAGAACAGAAGCCAGTAGCCACACCTGTGGTTCCAGATTGTCCACACTTTCTGTGGGTTTGGCTTACCTGCTGCCCACTGCTTTTCTACAAAGTGTATGTAAGACTTCAGTTCCTCCACCTGGAAGAAAGGCACAGGGCCATAAATGAGTGGGGTGCAACTGCAATATAATCCACATCTTATCCTCCCGTAATTTAAATACATGAGAAAGAAAGAAGCCAGGAGCAGGAGATTCTGCTAACTGCGCTTGAGGTCCAGCTCGGAGGGGCATGAACAGCCCCCATTCCTCCCAGTCCCACAGACCCTGGAACCCAGGGTAGATTGTCTGGTGCATCCTGGCCGAACCCATGGGTGCCTTATGAGGTTCGGCCGTGAAAGGCCTTGTGGCACCAGGCTTAGAGAGAGAACATGCTTTCAAACTGGTAGAACGAGGCCCTGAGTCTGACAGGAAGGAAGAACTCAAATTTACAAGCTCCTTGCTTCATGCCGGGACTCGAATTCAAGAGAAGGAAAACAAAGTCTTCTGTGAGGGGGCACACAGTTATTTATAGCTCTATGCCATCTGGGTCACCTGCCTGAGGACACAACGTGGATGCAGGGGAGAGGTGACCCAGGACAAGGAGCAGGGCCTCATCCATCCCTCCCTCCCTCCATCCTCTCATGAACAGCACACAGGCCAGGTCAGAGCCATGTTGGAAGGAGGAGACAACAGGCACATGGCCCAAGGGCTCCGATCACCTAGGCCCGACCCTGCTGTCTTGTGGTTTCACCTCCTCAAGGGCTCTGGCTCCTCAAGTTCCCCACACTGTGCGCCACAGGAAGGTGGGCAGGCCTGGCCCCTGTGGCTCTCGGCAGCTCTTGGATCCCTCTCCTGGGCTGTGTAGGAGGCAGAACATGAGCAGATCTGGGTCAGCTCCTCAGCCCTGTGAGACCCAGGCCAGTCACTCAGCCTCTCTGGTTAACAGGGTGGCGAGTGCCTCTGGGGCCTGTTTAGGAGTCAAACAAGGGCCCCATGTGTGCCATTCATAGGCCAAGGGGCCCTGTACCTGCTCACATCAAGAAAGCCCTGCACATACTCTGTGTCCCCCCAGTGAGGCTGCTACCCTGGCCCCAACCTGTAGCATTGTGAGGCCAGAGAACAACCAAAACCATTTTTAAAATGTCATCTTGGTGAAAGAAGTTAAAGTGGATAAACCCAAGGCAAATGGAAGGACATTGAGCTCTGCTGAAACATTGGACACTGCTCAGCAGTAACAGAAACACACACCGAGGCCTCATGCCAAGGGAGTCTGTGGGCATCTTGTCCCAAGGCAGAGGACACCACGGAGGGGCAGAGGCAGCAAAACCTGCTTCAATCTGCAATGACAAAACCTGGATGGGACAGCAGGGTGAGTCAATGGCAAAGGGGAGTGGGGAGCACTGGAGGGGATGGGGTGTCCACTGGGACTGGGCCAAGGTCCCTGCTCAGCACTGTTGGCCTGAGGTGGGAGTCTGGATTCATTGTGCAGTTGTTGTTCCCCACGGAGCTGATTGCTTCTCAAACTCATCTTAGCAGTGAGATATAATTAGAATATGAAAACACGTGCCATCATCTGGACTTGGAGGCCCACGAGGCCAAGAACATGGCTGCCTCCCCCCCTGCACTGCACCGCTCAAGCAGCTGCATACCTGGGGCCCTCGGGCTGTGCCACACTGTGCAGAAGCAGCTTCTGTCTTGTTCGGCAGCAGCTTCCTGGTCACACCAGGTGATGATGGCACTCGAATTGGTGTGTAGATGCACTGGAGCCTGGCTTCCTACCCTGAAGCCCCAGAATGCCCAGGTACCTTAACCCCTGCTGGGCCTTCCTCTCCCAGTGACTCCAGACCTCCTTGCCGACCTCCCTCTCAGCTCTGGGACAGTCCTCCAGGCCACCTGGGGTGAGATCCCCCCATAGAGGTACCAGCCACAACTGCCACTCATTCCCTTCTCTGGTTTACCCAGCTCTGTACTGGGTCCACAAATGGTGAGGCACCTGCAGGGCAGGGGTTGTGTTGATTTGTTTGCTGTTCAGGTTGGTGTTGAGTAGGTGCTCAGTAAACACTGCACATGTACATGAACAGATGGACAGGCGGATGGACAGATGGATGGATGGATGGATGGGTGGGACTTGAACTTGCAATCCTCCTGCCTCAGCCTCCCTCAGCACTGAGATTACAGGTCTGCACCACCACACCTGGTTGCCTGGCTCTTTTAAAGCCCTCTGTGACACAGTTCAAAGCTCTCAAGAGCCCGTGCTCTGCAGTCAGGCATTTTCATGTCAGGACCACTTTCTGTCCTTCTGAGATTCTGCTCTGGCCTTGGAGGGGAGACTGTACCCCAGACAGTCCCTGGCCTCACATCCTAAGCCCTTGGGCAGGACCAGGTGGCCTTACCTGCAGCCAGAGCACCTGGGGATGGGACAGGGAGGACCTGGCTGAGTTATGGCAGGTGTGGGCTGGGAGAGACAGATGGGAGGAAACAGTGAAGCCCGTTCATCTCTCGAGATTTCACATTAATTAGCATTCTCCTGGGCCATAAATCACAGCCTGGCAGCCTCTCCAGTTGCCATGATGGTGACCTCCATCCAGCTCTGTCACAGTGGTTGAGCCCCCCCACCCCCGCCAGGGCCCAAGAATCTAGGGTGGAGCAGGGAGGCCACCAGCAGCTTCCCTCCAGCTGCTCCAGGAGCAGAGCCAGGAGACCTGGGAGGGAGGCAGGCTGAGCAGAGGCCCAGGGCAAGGGGACCTCCCACGTGTTGGCCTCCTCCAGCAGGGACCTGGGCCTCCCCTCAGGCCCTGGAGCAGCTCCAATCTGCATCCCGCCTCCTAGCTCCAGCCCCCACCCCACACACCTTCTTGGAAGAGGACCTGCTGCAAGGCTCTGTCACAATTATGGGCAACCTCTGCCCAGGTGTTGAGGCAGAGACAGTGGCTGTCTGGAAGGCACTGGTCCCTGCAGGTCCCATGTGCTCCCCAGGATCGAGATGCTGCTCACTTCCCCAACAGTTCCCCCACCTGCCAGGAAGGATGCAGTCTCACAGGCTTCAATGAGGGCACCTCTGGGCACAGTATACTGGGCTCATGCCTGCCACCCGAGTCCCTATGGACCCCCGTGCCAACCCCAGACCCCCGTGTGGGACACAGAGGTCCCTCCAGCTCACCGGGAGCTGGTGACAGAGGGGTGTGGACACTGTCACATGGGTGCTATGCCCAGCCCTGAGCACAGATTCTCAGGATGGAACCCTCCCCGCCCTGAGCATCCCAGGACCCTGCAACCCCAAGACTACATGAAGGTGAGCCCTTGGTGCCTCTGTGTGCTCCAGGCAGATAGACAAGGATCCATTCCTTCGACCCGGGCTCTGGTCAGTGGGTCAGTCTCCAGGCTGGTCTCCAGCCTGCCATACGGCGGGTGGAGTGGGGTGACCAGGCCAGGCTGAGCCAGGATGGAGGCAACTAAGCTCTGAGCTTGAGGTCAGAGCACTAGGCCTCCTTCCTGCCCATCCTAACTCCTTGGGCAGGTGCTGGCTGGGACCCAGCCCACAGGACACAGAGGAAGAAAATCCTTCCCAACCCCAGCTGTGCCACCTGGCTAGGTGCAGCTGTGAGGGGCGGCAGCCAGGCCGGGCCACAGAGTGGGCTTGTAACCTGCCTACACACCTCTTTCCTAATATATAGAAGAGACAGTCATTGAGGCCACCTCACTGGGCCAGGTCACTGAGGATGGGCACCCCATGGACTTCCTGTGTGGGAGTCCAGAACCCATGGACAGGCAGGGATGACAGGTGTACTGGGCCCCCAACCCCAGCCCCCAGGACTGTGCTGTCTCCTGAGGACCACTAGACCCTACAGAAGGACAGCTGGAGCCACCCAGTGTACATGGCCCACAAGGCAGACCCTGATCTGGATCCCTCACCAGTGCTGAGTGGTGGCCTCAGCTGCACGTGAATATGAAGAGACACGGGTGCCTCCTGTCTCCACTGTGTCATAGTCAGGGCCCCTGCCATGTGACCTTGGCTGGTCAGGGGACTCTCTGGCCTCCAGGTGTCTCAGTGCCACAGGCAGCTGGACTCCTACACTCCTCTGCTCCTCCTGTCTTCAAGACCAGCTTTCCTCCTGGCATGGGGACGCTGCTCCAGTGGGGCCAGGAGGGTGGCCAGGCTGGCAGACTTGGCTGTCCCAACCGCATCCTGTGGTTTTCTCTGCCCTAGAGTCTGGGGCCCTGGCTCATGCCGTGTGAACCAGGCTCCTGAACTTGGTCTCCAGCTCGGTAGCATAGGACCTGGGCTCCGCTTCCTCTCTGAAATGCTGGCGAGCGGCACAAGGTCGGTTGCGGGGTTCAGGCCTGGGCTCAGCTGGACGTGTTCCTCCCCAGGCAGTCACAGGAGGCCCCTGGCATCTGGTAGCTTCTTTGACAGCAGCTGAGCTGGGGCTACTGTGCTGACACCTGTGTCTTTCAGGTGCCGTCCCCGGAGAGTATGGCGCACGGCAGGTGGATGCCCTGGCTGCCTGTCCTTGTGGTAAGTGGCCCTGGTGCCCACTCATGAGAACCCACTGGTCCGGGCTACACCCTCCACTCACAGGAACCCAGGGCTCTGGTCGTCAGCCTCAGGAGCTTCAATGTCCCCACGGTGAGGTAGGAGCCCCAGCCAGGCCCAGGGGCAGACACAGCTGCCCACAGCCCACTGCCTGAGTGCTGAGCCTGGTCTTCCAGACCCCTCCTGAGCGAGAGTGGGAACACACATTACAATGACCTATGTTCCGGGCACCTGCTGTTTAGAAGCTCGGGAGCAGGGCCACCTGGTCATGACCTTGAGAATGTATGGGCAAAGAGAACCTGAAGCATATAGACCTCATGGGCCTGGACAGCGGGCAGGGTGGAGCAGTTCAGGTGGGGTGCTGGAGGGAGCTGGGTGGCCGTGCCTGGTGACAGCCTGTGTGTGCCTGGCATGGCACTACATGTAGCTGCTGGGTCACCGTGTACATCCTGAGGTGCCGTGACCACAGTGGCTTTGCTTGGTGCAGATGTCGCTGGTGCACTCAGCCGGCGCAGAGTATTCCAGCTGCGGTGAGGACGAGTTCTACAACCAGACCACTGGGCTGTGCCAGCTGTGCCCGCCCTGTGGACCAGGCGAGGAGCCCTACATGGTAAGGGTGGGCTGCAGGCTGGGCAAGGCAGCTGCCCAGGGCTGAGCGCTGAGCACTTGCTCATAGCACCCCTGGTCCCCATGTCCAGGGGACCCCTTCCTGCTCTGACTCAAGGGTATCAGGCCTTCTGGGTCAAAGTAGTACTTTCAAGCCTGAGTCCCCACCTCTGTCTCCTGAGGGAAGGTACAACCTCCAGGGTTTGGGGTCCAGGAGAGGCTGAGAAAGTGAGTGCCAGGGCCAGTCTGTGGCTGAGATCCAGAAGTTGGTCCCAGGATAGGACAGGAACCAACCTGGGTCTCTGCTCAGGCTGTCAGGGTCCACATGCTTCTCACTCACCGTCCTGACCACTTCTTGGCCAGTCCTGCGGCTATGGCACCAAGGACGAGGACTATGGCTGTGTCCCCTGCCCTGCTGAGAAGTTCTCCAAAGGGGGCTACCAGATCTGCAGGCGCCATAAGGATTGTGAAGGCTTTTTCCGGGCCACGGTACTGACACCGGGGGACATGGAGAATGATGCTGAGTGTGGGCCGTGCCTCCCTGGGTAAGTGTGGCCTTGCTGGTGCCTGGAGTAATGTGGATGGCATGGGCAGTGTGGTGCCTGCTTTGTCTCACATGGAACACTGTCCAATCACAAGGGTGTCACCATGCACGGCAGCACCAGGTGACTGCCCAAGTGAAGCTGCTTAGCCGAGTGCTCACACTCTGAGTGAGACAACAGATGTGGAACACTTTGGAGGGGAAAACTAAATTTCTACGTGAAGTATGATGTCTGGTATTTGTAATCTCTGGGAAATGTGAGGGTAAAAGCTACTAATGAAAATGTTTCCATCATGAGATGCCTACAGTCTCACTGCACTGAGGCCATGTATCTGAAGTTTTCCCAAGTGCATTTAGCCTGAAAGGCATGAAAAGTAAATCATCCTCTTTCCAGGCAGCACATATTGGCAAATTCTGCCCAGAACCAAGAAAACACAGCCTGACCTGCTGTGAATACTAAGCCAATACTGCTGCTGCCTCCCACTAGTGGTCATGGGGCATAATGCTTTGCAAGTGCAGGTGTTCAAGTGCAAGTGAGGTAGGGGTAGGGACAGAGGTGATGGAGGGGAGGAAGATGGTGATGGAGGTGATGACAGAGGTGGGAAGGGAGACAGATGGAGATGACAGAGAGGGAGCTTAGGGAGGGGGGTAATGGTGATGGAGGTGATGACAGAGGTGTGGATGATAATAGCGATGGAGGTATGACTGGAGGTGTGGATGATGGGGTTGGAAGTGATGACGGAAATGAGGATGAGTGATGGAGGTGATGATGATGATGATGATGATGATGATGATGGAGGTGATGGTGGTGATGGAGGTGAAGGAGGTGGTGGAGGTGATGATGGTGATGGAGATTGTGATGGAGGTGATGGAGGTGTTGGTGATGGAGGTCATACTGGTGATGGAGGTAAGATGATGGTGATGGAGATTGTGATGGAGGTGTTCATGATTGGGGTGATGGAGGTGATGATGGTGATGCAGGTGGTGATGGTGTTGATGGTGATGGAGGTGATGGAGGTGGTGATGGAGGTGAAGGAGGTGTAATGGAGATGTGGTGATGGAGGTGATAAGGAGGGGATGGTAGTGATGAGTGATATGGATAACGATCATCATGGCACAGCGGTGTTGTGAACAGCACACTACACTTCACAGTGTGCTTGTACAGATGTTGGCTCCTTGGGTCACTGTGTTGACTTTAGAGGAAGAAGAAAATAAGATATATTTAAAGGTGGACACTGAGCAGGAGTCTAGAAGGAAGTATGCTAGAAAGACACAACAACTTAAAAATAGAAAGTGAACTAACCTTTTCCAATGAGGACATACAAGAAGTGATCAAAAATTCCACAGCTGTTCATGGTAAAAGCTATCAGAGACTAGAAGTAGAACAGAACCTTCTCAACAGATTAAAGACATGTACTCCACACTTCCAGCGAGAACGCCTTATATGGGAGAAGATACAATGCTTTCTCCTTAAGGTGGGGAACAAGGGCAGATATGCCTACTCTTCCTCTGTCCATTAAACTTTGAAACATAGGCCCAAACCAAAAATTCTGGCAATAAATGACACAATTAGGATAGGATTGGCAAGGTAGAAGTAAAATCTTTATATGTGAAAATAATGTGTTTAAATTTTTTAAAATGTATTACAGTAAAAGAAGCACTGTCATTATTCTCCCTCAAAATCCTCTCCCTTGCTTTGAACACACTTATCCCATTGTTCTTGCCACTTTCTGAAGCAGTTCTGGAGGTCCTTTTTCATGAGTGTCTTTATAAGGTGTGATCAAAAACACAGTGAATGCTGCTACCAAGTGCCATCAATAGGTGACCTGGTAAAAACATGATGGTGTATCCTCAATCACCCATCTTATTCACTGGCACTGTGCTACTTCTAGTTCTTCCCCAAAGACAAAAAGACCGTGAAATGTCAATGTTATGAATTGATTCAGGACTTCAAGGTAGTCAAGACAGCACAACAAAAGATACTCAGGAAAGAACACTTCCAGAAGCACAGAACAAACAGGCAGGCTATGGGACTATGCTCTTAGAGAATTGTGATAAGAGTAGAAGCTTTGTCACTGATGGCTTTAGTTCAGTTGCTGTAGCTTCGAGCCCCTGTGAGATGACAGAGCAGCCCCGCCACCCAGGAGCCGCTGGGAATTAGCTCTGTGCAGACCTGTGTGGCCCCTGAATGACAGACATTCAGTAGACCTTGACAATAGATGCTGGAATTGGTCTCTGAGCTTCCTGAGTTTCATCTTGACTGATTCACTCACTAATTTTATTGGTGCAAATACAATATCCATGAAAGAAAGGCAGAGCTCTGAGGATTAAGTGCAGGAAAGACATGCAATGTGCTCACCTGGAAGCAGATGAACCCTGTTTGCAAAACCTAAAAGTGTCTCCAGAGCCTGACTCACACCCTAAGTAACAGAATAACCAGTGTTCAGTCCTGTGAACCTTCAGCTCCAAGAGACCAGCAGGGGGCCAAGAGCATCCATGCTCCCTTTCCTCTCTAAGGAGCGGAGACCAGGAAGGCAGCCACCACCACAGGCAGTGTCCCAAATGCCCAGGAAGCCCTCCTGGTCGGACAAGGGACCCAGGGTTCTGGGAGACTTCTGGAGGGAGGTCAGGCCAAGAAACAGGCAGAATTCTCGGAGAGGGATGCTGAGCCCAGCTCATGGTCCTGGGGCCGGACTGTCCCTGAGGTTACAAAGAGGCCAGGGATGGCAGACCCAAAGGAAGCTGTCCCTGGAGACAGGCTGCAGCTTGTGGCTGCCTCAAAGGACCTGGGCCAAGAGGGTGCCCATCAGCAGAACAGTAGGGCTCTTCCTGGCTCTCTCTGCCTCCTGGCACAGCAGTCAGCTGGTCATCACCTTCTATACCAGGACAGAGCATGGCCTCCCACCCTGCACAAGGAGGATGTGGTGTCCCAGTGCCACCCCATGGATGTGACCACGGCTTTGCTGGCTCCCTGATGGGCCCTCCATGTGATATCTGTTTAAATCAATCCCTTCCGTCCCCCAGTGAGCTCCAGGCCTAATGGGAGGCACCTGAGGACCCTGTGTCCCAGGGCAGGATAATGGGGTGTTTTGGCAAGGAGCCTCACAAGCTCCATGAAAGGCTGTTTTCATCCGGAATCCCTGCAGTCTCCACACTGCTGCGATACAGATCAGCTCTGTTTGTCTTCCAACCTGGGCTGTACAGGCCTCCCCTGTGGTTTGGCAGGCTGGCTGCTCATTCTTTGCCTCTGCGCTGCAATGCATCCTGTAGCCTAGGCAGAGCTTAACAATGAGCAGCATGCGGGCTTTCCTGTGGGAGGGCCAGGTGTGGGAGAATGGGACAAGGGGAAATTTGTAACCTCCCCAGAACCCTGGGACCAGGCAGACAGGAGCCTCCACCAGTTTGCTCCCTCAGACTAGCTCTACCTGGGTCCCCAACTCCAACCTAGCACCCAACAGCTGGCAGCCATGGGAGGGCCTTTGAGGTACATGGCTAATAAAACAGAAAGTTCTGTATGCACAGGAGATGTTGCCCCCTCCTGCATTAGAATCAGGGAAGGTGCTAACCTCGGTTCCTTTTGTTTATTTGATTTTTTTGGTACCGGGGATCGAACTCGGGACCTTGCGCGGTAGGCGTCAGAACCACTGAGCTAAATCCCCGGCCCGCCTTTTGTTTAATTGACTCCTCGGGCCGGGGATTTAGCTCAGTGGTTCTGCCGCCTGCCTCGAAAGCGCAAGGTCCTGAGTTTCAATCCCCGGTACCAAAAAAAACCCCACATAATTGACTTCTCATTATGTGGCAAATGACACTTGTTTATGGAGCCAAGGTAGAAGCCAGAGCTGGTGGAGGGAAGGAGCTGGGCCTGGAGGAGAGGCCCCATGTGGGTGGCCTGCAGGGTCATGGCCACAGCAGTAGACCCCACCCACTAGTGTGGCCATGGACTGGTGCCAGGAGCATGGTTGGGGTGAAGGCATCCAGCAGGGTGGCGGTGAATGAGTCCTCTTCTGTATGCACATGCGGCCACTGTACAGCGGCCAGTCCCATAGGGGCCTGCGGGCCTGAGCCACTGGCTGCCTTTCAGGCTGTCTGGGCAGTCAGCTGTCCTCACAGCTGGCCAGCTCCCCTCAGGTCATCTGCAGCCTCACAGATGGTCTGGGAGATCTGGGTCCAGGATTCATGGGCAGTGCTGGTAACAGTCCCCGAGCTACAGCACTGTGGACTGTGGACTGTGGTGGCACCCAGACATTCTAGGGGTGACACCGACAAAGACAATGACATACATGCACTAACAAATCCCTCAGGAGCAGAACTAAAAGACAGGGAGTGGGGGTGTCAGAGAGGGACAGGCTGGCCCAATACTGGAAAAAGACTGTCCGCTCAGAACACAGAACCCCGGGAAACCAAGGGCCTGGGGCAGCTGGCTGGGTGCAACCCCACCCCTGCTGCCCCAAGGCTGGCTGACTCCCGCCAGGAACCACTGCGGCCCCTCACCTGTCTGCTGTCTTTCTTGTCCCTACAGCTACTACATGTTGGAAAACAGACCGAGGAACATCTATGGCATGGTCTGCTATTCCTGCCTCCTAGCGCCCCCCAACACCAAGGAATGTGAGTGCTGGCAGGACAAGAGGTCAATTTCGGGGCAGGGCGGGATGGGTGGCCTGGGAAGGGAGCCTGCCACTGCAGGCCGGGCTCCTCCTCTTTGTTTGCCTGGGGTGCCTCAGACCCTGGGATCCGCCCCCGGCGCCCCAAAATAAAATAAGCCCTGTCCTGTCTCCTGGAAAAGCGAGAGGTCATGGGTGCAAAGGTATTCCGTGAAGGCCAGGCGAGTTCAGTTCCCGCCCACATTTGTAATCGCGCGAGGCCAAGAGGATGAATCTAGGACCCAGGAGCACCTGGGGACCCCGCTCTGCCCTCCACGGCTCAGCGGTAGCCCCCATCACTTCCGCGTCACTGAGCAGAGGGGGCGGTGTCTAGAGGGCAGGACGGGAAGCAGGGCCGATCCGTGCAGGGGACGGGACGGAGCCTTGGTGGGGGCGGAGTCTTGGGCGGGGCTTGGATGAACGGGTGCAGGCTGCGCCCAGCTTGTCCGAGCCCGCGCACGCCCAGAACTGGGCTTCCGTCTGCCCCGAGCTCCCCGGGGCCGTTCGGTCTTCTCCCGGGATCTGGACCTACTGGTGGCTCTGAGATGCTGCCTAACCTGGGCGGACCGCGGGCACGACCTACTGGGACAGCGTCTGACCCGACCTGAGAGAGGAGACCTAGGGTCACCTGGGGAGCAAGCGCAGCCCCTCCGTCAAGGGAGGAAAACCCGGACCGAGGGATCAGGACCGCAGCATGGGGACACAGGACTGGGGTCATGGGATCGCCCATCCCATAACCGGACCGCACCCCCCCCCCCAGTCCCCAGACGGCCAACCACTGCCCCACCTCCTCAAAACCAAGGAGCATTCCAATAGCTGAGATCCCGGGGCAGCTGGTGACCCTGACAGAGGCAGCCCAGGGCAGCCAGAGAGGCCACCCAACCACCGTGAGCACGGTCGTGCATGCATGTGGTGTGGATGTGACACCGTCCACAAATGAACCCCTGCTTCCAGGGGTGCCTGGTGGTGGCTGGAGGCCTGATGGACCTGACACTGCCTGATCTCGGCCTGATTTAAATGTGTCTCTGAGACTGAGGCTGTAGGTGCCTTGTAGCTGCCTCAGTTTCCCTTTTCTCCACCACACGACTGAGGAAACATGGGCTTGGTACTCTAGCAGGGTAGGCACAGCTAGTGTGGAGTCCTTGACGCTGGAAGCAGGAGACAGGTGTGCTCCAGACGCCTCTTAACACCCTGGGTAGCTCTGTCCCCAGGGACACCTGCCCACACTTGGGACGCCCCAGGATGCCCAGGCCTTGAAGCCAAGGCCATATCTCCTGTTTATGGCTGGCCCTAGGGACAGCTTCATCCTTCCCCACCTCATGCATCCTATTAGGCTGAAGGGAGGTGCAGAGCCCTCTCGCTAGTGATCAGTCAAATTCAAGACCCAGATGTGCTGGTTTGCTGAGAGCTCTGGCTTTCTGGCCCCAGCTGTCCCGAAGACACCCATGTAACTGTCAAAGGCCAGGGCACCATGCGGAGGCGTCACACAGGAAGAGCTTTTGTCATGTCTGTCTGCTACCAGGAAACCCACCCATGTCACAGGTCACTGTGAAGACAGGGGCATGGTGGCAGTGTGTTGGAAGTGCCCATGCCAGTGTCGGGACATGTTGGTGACCAGGACCCAGAGTCCATTCCACACTGACTTGTGCCGGGTGTTCCCCTGGAGCACAGTGTGATGCCCAAGACTACAGGTGGGATCCACACAGCTGTCTCTGAGAAGCGAGGCACAGGCCCTCAGGCACAGCATGTCGCCAGGCACCTTTAAGAAGTGGATTCTAAGGCAGCCAGTCTGAATGGGCCTGGGCTGACCAGCACCCTAGAGGGCCTGACTACCTGCTGTTGAGCCAGGATCCACAGCCAGGGGGTGTGCAGCCCAAGGGCAGCCTGGCTCACCACTCCACAACACACCAGGTGGGTCAGGCCTGCTACAGCCACACAGGCCTCAGGGCTCACCCTGTCCTGCATGGACACAGACCCGAGAGGAGGGTGCAGGCCCTAGTGGAGAGTGTGGACCTAAGCAGAGGGTGTGCCCATCTCCTGGAATTGTGGTCTTTCTCATCAAAGCCAGGCCCCAGGGACATCTTGCACAGAAACATCTCCATTCACTCTGGAGGGAGACCTCCCAGCTGGCTCTGCTTTGGCTGCCAGTGTGGAGCAGGTCTGCATCAGACCTCATGGACATGACCCAGGACTTTGTCATGTGAGGTATGCATGTGGGGAACCGCACCAGTGCCAGCCTAAGCAGGCAGAGGGGGCTCAGCAGTCACTACCAGCCCCTCTTTGTCTGTGACCACAGCTGGCGACAGGGCCAGTGGTGTGGGAGCTGGAACAGTTCTAGCCTCTGTCCCCAAAACCTGTGTACTCAGATCCCATTAGCTGGCTTCAGATTTCTGACCTGCCACATCCTTTCAGCATGGCGCAATGAGACGACACGTTACAGATACCCATTCATGCTGCTGTAGTTCTGTCCTGGGGTCTTCAGGGGTTCCTGTGTAATGTCATCAGGGAGGTTTCAGGGACCAGCTTGGACCAGCCCCACCCCACCCCTGCCCCACCTTCCAACCACGTCCAGTGCTGCCCCATGGACTGCTGTTCTCCCTAATAACATGACAATGGTGACAAAGTCTAGAAGTGACCTCACACCTCAGAAGTCAGCCTAGTGGGCTGGGGACGGGTGGGACAGACAGGACCTCCTCTGTTCTTCCCACCCATTCTCATGTCCTCAGAGGACATAGAACGCTGAGTTGGGGACAAAACAGACCACATAAGCTGCACACTGCACTTACAGCATGGCTATGCCCAGCAGAGCACCCTGGCACACACGTGCCAATGTGTGTGAGGGGCCGGCTCTGTCCCTGCCTCAGTTCTGAGCACTAAGCTGGGAAGAAGCTGTTGTTGGGAAGAGGTTGTTGCTGGGAGGTGTGGGCACAGCTGAAACCACAGGCCCTTCTGACCTGCGGCGGTGCTCCAGAAGGTGCCTTCCTCCCTGCAGATTCTCAGGGGTCAAGGGCTGCAGGAAGGGAATGCAAAGATGGAAGGGACCCGAAGGGCACTTGTCTGGCCAAGGTCTGGACCATTCTGTGGGGGTGGCTACAGGGTTCAGCTCCAGTCCTACCATGAACAAGGGGCTGAGAGGCTTGGTAGAGTCTGCCCCCCCCCCACAGCACCCACCTCCCGCTGGGCCATGCCCAGAGCATGGTGTCCTTCCAGGCAGGGAGCACCCACTGGTCTGGGCTGTTTGGGTGACACTGCTGGGGCCCCAGGCAGAGGCAGGCTGGCCCTGAAGGCCATGCTGTGGAGGGGGAGTGTCCCTGACAAGCAGTGGCCTGCACAAGCTGTTTCAGAGGTCACTGTGTAGCAGCCTCTCTAGACCACAGGCCTGGGTGTATCTGTGTCCCCGTCTCTAACCCTGTCACCCACCCTGCCTACAAGCCCTGGCAGGAAGGGACAAGAAGAGACAAGAATGATGAAGGTCTAGACACAGCCCACACATCTCCTCAGGGTGTCTGAGCCCCTTACCAAACAGATCCACTTTCCTTCAATGTCCTGTTTGCGCTAGAACAGGAAATCAGGTTCTGCTTGAATTGGGCCCTAAGCCTTCTCTTGCTTCCTGCTCCTGGAGCCTGATCAGTGGCACCCAGTGTAACATGGGGCAGTGTAACTGCCATCACCTTTGTGGCTGCAGATATCCAGAGGGGCTTGGGGATGGGAAGGGTGCACCCCGTCCCCGTCCTGGTCAGGGATGGACAGTTGCCAGCCAAGGCTCCTCCCTGCTGTGTCACTGGTCCTAAGGCCAGGCGTGGAGACTAAACTGGAAGAGCAGGGGTTGGCTGGGATGGGAGGGGCCTTCAGTTACCCTTGGCCCGCAGTGAGAGGTAGCATTTCTCATGGCATGGTCTGCAGCTCAGTCCCCAGCCCTGAGCGACAGCATCTCAGCTACCTTGTACTTCAGAGTCCTGTCTGTCTTAGAGGGACAGGGATGAGGGTGGCTGGCTGGCGATCCTGGAGGATGCAGACATGAGTCATTTGATGGCCTCCACCCCGGCTGGCTGTGTCCCTGCTCCTCAGCTGCCCTGAGCTGAGCCAGGCTTAGGCCTGAGCTGCTCAGACCCCTCTCCTGAAGACACCTGGCAGCTTGCTTCTCAGATGCCTAGTGTTGACACACACAGTACAGGGTGGGAGACACAGGGTGTTGACCTCCAGGAGCTGAGGTCTTGTCCTGGACCCATGAGCTGCCCAGTTCACACTTATCTCCAGAAGTGGCAGACAAAAGAGCAAGGGAAGGAAATGTTACAACCACGAGGACCTTGCATCCACAAGCCAAGTGCTCACCACTGAGCTGCACCCCACTGTGGAAGTGTTTAGTCATTCTGGAGGAAGGAAGGCTGGCATCTGAGAGTCTTTCCGGTTCATTGGAGCTGACTGCTCCCTTAGGGATATATGCCATGGCAGAATCAGCCACTGTTTCCTCCCTGCTAAGTGAGTTTTCCATGAGGGATTTCATGAGTCATAGCTGACAGGGAAGGCCTGGCCCATCCCTGTCCTTGGATTATTTGGTCTCAACTTCTTTGGAAACATATTTTAGGAAAAAGCCACGGGGCAGTATGCCAAAGTCAGCGTTAGACAGAGAGGCTATGGGCGGGTCTTCGCTTCTCGTGTTCTTACTTCCTCCAGATTTTTAATAATGAGAGATGATTTTATGAGTAGAAAAGGTATTAAGAACACATCCTTGCTCTTCATATTTGAAACAGCAGTCAAGCACTGTTTCATCCCAGGAATCCTTTCACAGACATGCCCTTTCCTCCTCCAGATGGGTTGCACACAGCCTGCCCAGGTCACAGGGAAATCCAACTTCAGCAGTTGTTACTACAGTCCTCCCTCCCTCCTTCCCTCCTTCTCATCTCTATTTAAAGAGCAAGAACCCTATGAGATCAGAATGATCTTCAGGGAATGTTAAACCCTAATGTGTTCCCTGGGGCCTGCAGCTCACCCAGCTTGCAACAGATGATAGTGGTGTCTTCCACTCACCTGAGGCCACTGTGTTCTCCCCGCAGGTGCAGGAGTCTCCTCAGGGGTCTCTGCCAACTCTCCCCGCACCTCTGGGGGCAGCACCCTGCCCCCCTCCCAGCACGCCCACAAAGGTGAGGGGGGTGCCTGGCCGGGGTAGCTTGGGGGCTGCACGGCGGGAGGAGCCTGTGGGGATGTTCACGCCACTCCTCTTGACACTAGCAGAGCTCTCGAGCCAAGGACACCTGGCCACAGCTCTGATCATCGCCATGTCCACCATCTTCATCATGGCCATAGCGATTGTCCTCATCATCATGTTCTACATCATGAAGGCCCGGCCCTCTGCCCCAGGTGACAGCCCCAACCCTGCCCTCCCTCTGGACACTTGTCCCTGGCCCAGGGACAGCCTGGCTGCTCACACCCACCCTCTCTCCAAGCAGCCTGCTGCAGCAGCCCCCCAGGGAAGAGCGTGGATGCAGCTTCGAGCCAGGATGTGGAGAAGAAGGAGGCCCCAGGTCTGTTTCTGTGCCCTGGGTTGGAGGGTCGTGGCCGGGGCACCAAGCTGAGCACAGCCAGCTGACCCTCCCTCCCCACTCCCATCCCCTGCAGATGGCGTCGTGATCTTCTCCGAGAAAGATGAGTTTGAGAAGCTGACGGCGACCCCAGCAAAGACCACCAAGAGGTACGAGTCTGGTGGCCAGGCAGAGATTCAGACTGTGTCCCTGGGAAACTGCTTCTCCATGCAGGGTTTTGTGCATCTGGCCCCTGTCTCCCAGGAGCTGTTCCCCAAAGTGGACAAGAAGGAGCCCAGCTGAGGGTGGGGAGCTGGGGACTTGAGAGAAATACAAGCATGTTCTATACCTAAAGGCAGAAGGCCCCAGGGCTTTGTCCCGCCCATGCTCTGGGGCCTTGCAGACAGGACCTGGGGTATGTAGCCTGTGGCCTCATAGGGACAGCACTTTTTCCCACCCTGTGACTTCTGAGAGGCCTTGAGGCTTAGGAGGAGGCTGCTGCTTGCTTTTCTTCAGGGCTCCAGGGCTGCAGCCCAGTTACTGGCAAATTCAATCCTTAAAAAAAAATCAGGGGCTGGAGATTTAGCTCAGTGGTTCCGATGCCTGCCTTGCAAGTGCAAGGTCCCGAGTTTGATCCCTGGTACCAAAAAAAAAAGTAGTGTAGTCTGCAGATGACTACAAGAAGTCAGTAGGAACCTAACACCCATGGGACTGTCTGGAGTTTGGGTGGCAGACCCTGTACCCACTGGCATCCTCGATAGCCCTGCAGTTACACCCAGCCTCCTGGGCTCCATTCACAGTGAGCTTGGTTCCACCCCAGGTGGAAAACCCACCCAGGATGGAGCCAGTCACCACCTCAGCTTCTTATTACCATGGGTCAAATACAAAATCTCGGCCAGAGTCAAACACACAATCCAGCACCCACAGCACCCATTCTGTGGCCCTTTACCCAACACCCACCCTGACCAGGTGGGAGGGGTGGGCAGGCACCATCTGACCTCAGTGTCTCCTTGATGCCTGAAGAGCCCCAGGTACTGCAGGTCACCCCGAAAAGGACAGTGGGAAGGAATGAGGAGCAGTGATGTGTCCTCCCACCTTACATCCCATGCCCAGAGCCATGAGGCACACAGGGGCACTGAGGAACCTGTCACAGCACCTGCTTGTCCACACTGGGCAGCAGGTCACCCCTGGGACATGTCAAAGTACCTGGCTGTCTACACTGGGTGGCAGGTCACCCCTGGGAAGTGTCACAGGGCCCAGCTGTGCACACTGGATGTGGTGGTCACCCCAGGAAGGGTCACTGTGCCTGGCTGTCACTCCCACAGAGCCTGGCAGGGCTGTAGCTTCCCCTTGTGGTCAATGTGCACCCCTCTTGTCCCCAGCGAGAATGATGCCTCATCAGAGAACGAGCAGCTGCTGAGCCGGAGTGTGGACAGTGACGAGGAGCCAGCGCCTGACAAGCAGGGCTCCCCAGAGCTGTGTCTGCTGTCGCTGGTGCACCTGGCCCGGGAGAAGCCAGCCCCCAGCAGCAAGTCAGCTGGGGTGAGGACCCCACAGTGACTATGATGTCCCCACAGTGACCCCCCCCCAGAGATAGGCTTCCCATGACAGGGAGCTCCTCCTGCCCCACACTGTCAGGAAACATCTCCCTCTGTGTGCTGCCTCGTAGATGAAAAAGAGAAAAGTGTAAAAGCACTCAAAATGCTAGAGAACAGAAAAAACCTTTGTAACAGTGATGTATGGTTTTGCACATGTACACAATGCACATGTGAATACACACAAAATACACACAGTCAGCCCTTCATGTCTGCAGGTTCCAAATCAATGGGTTCAACCAACCCCAGATAAAAACAGAACAAGCAAGCCTGCATGTGTACTAGGCAGACTTTTCTTCATTATTCTCTACACACTGTAGCTCAGCAGCTCTCTGCACAGCATTTACACCCAGTGACCTAGAGTGATAGTGTACAGGGGCTGTGTATAGGTTCTGTGCAAATATCAGGCCCCGTTACATGGGAGACTTGAGCATCAGATTGTGGGGTCCTCGGATCCTGGAGCCAGTCATAGGAACCCAGAAACAATCACATACAGGTCTCTGTGTTTCTGCAAACTTCTTTGCACATTTCTTTCACACCGAAATAGGCTCTCTTATACACACCATCTAGGATTTTACCTCAGAGCAGGCAGCCCTGAACAGTGTGCCCCCAGTGTGGGCTCTTGAGGACCAGCTGTGCCTTTGTGCCTGGGTCCGTACCTCAGCACCCAGCCAACCTTGGAAGCTGGAGAAAAGCCTGCCTGGGTCTGGGTCTGGCTGGTCCTGCTGGGACACCGTGTAACCTTTCTACAAGGCCATATTCACAGGGACCCTGGGGGTGTTGGTTGTCACAGAGGCTGTGGGCATGGGGCTCCTCAGCCAGGGCCACTCAGCACCTGTCTTTGCCCCAAGGAGGACAAAGACCCTGGCTCTGCCCTTGCCCAGCTGGGTCTCACCCTGGGTCACCCTTCCCAAAACCCTGCTCCATGTCCTTTGCAGGCAAGAGGGCCAAGGGTGCTAGCTGGGGACCTGAGGGAACCTCCTCCCTTGTGCAGGCTGGTGTGCCAAGGACCAGCTGCAGCCCCATCCCCCACCCCCACCCCATCAGGCCTCCCCTTGGGAGGTCAGAGGCAGAGGCAGCCAAACATTCTAAATTCTTTACAGATCCAAAGCCGAAGGAAGAAGATCCTGGATGTGTATGCCAATGTGTGTGGTGTTGTGGAAGGTAAGTGTGCCAGGGCCACGCAGAAGACATGGCCTGACATTCCAAGGGTCCTGCACCTGTCTGAACCAACTGCAGGTGTGAAGGGATGGATGCATGGGGTCCCAGAAGGCGAGACCCTACTCAGCATTTCTGGCAACCCTCACCCACAGGACAGGAAATGTCAGTGCAGTGACAAGGGCATGGGAGCCGAACAGTGGAGCCAGGCAGCTGTGACTCCCAGGCACACATGGCCTTGTCATGATGAACATTCATTTATCCAGTCTTCAGTTCCCTGACCAACTGGATATGTCCTGGGAAACATACATGGGTGATGTCACCCACCACAGATCTTATGGGGGCCACAGTATTTGCAGCTAGGCACTACCAGGGACCACGGGGCCGTGTGTGCTTGCCCTAGCAGTCCCCTCATTCCTCCTGAGGTGGACAGTGCTGGCCCGGGGCTCACACCTCCTGCCACAGCTGCCTCTCCAGTGTATTGGGCTCAACAGGTGCAGGCAGGTGAGTGGGCAGAGCTTAGACTTGGCCTGAATCCTGAGCTGCAGCAAAATCCATCCCTGAGTGACCCTCATTCCCCCAAGGGTAAACCCTTCACTGCCAATGCTGGGGCCCACACACAACCCACACACACCCACCTAGCAGGGCAGCAAGAGGGGAGCTGGGCACCCTGGTACTCACAGCCCCTGGGGCCTGGCCAGGGTTCTAGGGCACCTGCCTGGAAGCAGAGTCTCCCCAGACTCACGCCTGGTCCTCCATGGCTGCCCGTGCAGTGTGATCTGGGGGCTGTGTCCTGGTGACTCGAGTTCTCTGTTCTGAGTACAGCCTGGCTTCCAGCACCCATGCCCTGGGATGGGGGTTTTCAAGTTACTTTAGGAGCCCCGAACACAGGCCCCTCTTCTGATGATTGGTTGTGCTCTCCAGGCCTCAGCCCCACAGAGCTGCCCTTTGACTGCCTGGAGAAGACAAGCCGCATGCTCAGCTCCACATACAACTCTGAGAAGGCTGTGGTAAAGACCTGGCGCCACCTGGCCGAGAGCTTTGGGCTGAAGCGGGATGAGATTGGGGGCATGACAGATGGCATGCAGCTCTTTGACCGCATCAGCACAGCGGGCTACAGCATTCCCGAGCTGCTCACCAAGCTGGTGCAGATTGAGCGGCTGGACGCTGTGGAGTCGCTGTGTGCAGACATCGTGGAGTGGGCAGGGGTCTCACCGGCTGCCTCCCCACCCCCAGCTAGTGCATCCTGAGGGTGCCAGGGCCTTCCCATCCTCCCTGGAGGAGCTGGGGGCTCCGGGCCTTTGCAGCTGTGGAATCCAGGCTTCTGCTGGGTCACCGTGTACCTTACAGGAAGCAGCCCTGTCCCCTGTCCTGACCTGGGTGAAGGCTGAGCAGTGCTCCAGCCCCCAGCCTCCTGGGCACAGGGATATTTATCCACTGACCGGCATGGATTCACTGGATGGATGTCCAGCACCAGCGAACTAGACCCTGTGGAGTGACGGGTCTCTAAAGAGTGGAAGCTCAGCAGGAGGCCAAGGAGCAGCATGAGGAGGGGAGGCCACAGATGTGTTCCAATCCTGAGAGGGTACAAGGGCTGCCCAGGCGAGGACAGCAGTGGCCCCGTGTGGCAAACCTGTCAGGACACAGCATCCCAGGCTTGGTGTTGTCTGTGGTCCCTAGAAGGAGCCTTGCTCTGTGTCACCTGCAAGTAAGGCCTCTGTGTCCTGTGACCAGATATGTGTCACACTGCCCTGTGTCACCCACACACAAGGCCTGTGTCCTGTGACCAGACATGTGTGGCATCCAGCCCCACTGACATTGGGGTCCAGGCCTGAGACAGTGGTGAATGGCCTCAAGGTCCTTGGCCAAGTGTCAGTCCCCCCAGGACACACATGTCAGGCCATGCTTGCTTGTCACAGATCTGAGAGGGGATGGGAGGGGGTCCCTCCTTCGAACTCTGCCAGCACTGTGCTAGACGTTGGCGGTGTCAGAGTGGTCAAGGCTGGTGGCCAAGGGTTTCAGACTTGGCCTGGGCTGGTGTCCCAGCCCCTTCCTCCCTGCTTCGGGCCTGGAGAACTTGGCCTGTGATGCTGCAGTCAGGAAAGTGAGCGTCAGGTGAGCTGGAGAAAGCAGCAGATGCTGCAGGAAAATGCAGCCCAGGGGCTCTACATGCTGAGCACATATTGCAGGCCAGCAAGAAAATGGAAATAAGAGGACAGAGCTGGCTTCTTTTCAGTACCTGAGATTGAAGACAGAGCTGATACACAGTACGGCTCACACAGATCTCATTGACCATACCACTGTGCTGACTGCTGAGTGAAAACCCAGTCCTGACCTAGTGATGATTTTATAATTCCAAGTCCCACAAGTGAAGAAATGCATGGGGCTCTGTTGCACAAGAAGCAGCCTCCCACCACCAGGTGCAGGGAATGCTGAGGGGACCAAGATCACGACTGGATAGTTAATGTCATCACTGACTTCTGCTGCTGTGTTCCAGAGCCCATTCTGTGCATCCTGTGAATCTGCAAGCTAAGTGCTCCACCGGGACATTTAGTTGTCCTTCTAGTTCCTCTTGGAAGCCCTGCAGCGACCCTGGTGGTGGCGGCGATGAGTTGTCACTCCTACCTGTGATTAGTCCGCGAGGGTCACAGGTGAACAGTGTCCAGGGGGGCAGGGCGGGGTGTCACCCCATCAGGCTCTGTCTGAGCTTTCGCTGGCCCCAGCCACTGCTCTAGGACCTGACTGTTCAGAGCCCCCCTGACATGTCATTTACTTATCTGGAAATACCCAAGGCAGGCTTGCTCTGCTGGGATTCTGAACCTGAGTCAGAAGGATTCTCACTGACCTCACAGGACCTCCATCTGGCCACTTGGTCTGAGATGGTCACTATTTTGTAGTTCTGAAAAGTGTTTACGAAACACTCCCAGCAAGGCCTGGGCCCTTAGCCAGTGAAGTCTTAATTTTGAATATGTCTACCTGATTCTGTATATGTAACTTATTATATTTTATAATCACATTAAACACACTAATGAAACAGACATTACTGTGTATGCTGTATGTGTGTGAGCTGTACTGACATGTGTGCATATGAACGGTGAGTATTGGATGGAGACGATGCTGGGCTGCCTGTCATGGCTGGCTGTACCTGTGTATGCCACATATGTCAGCATATAAAGAAAAGTCTTGTGGCTCCAGGTCTCAGAGGTCATGGTAAGGCCCACTGGCCCCCGTCCTTGGCCTATGGCTGTGGCCAGGCTGCAGGCCATGGCAGAGCATGGGGCACAACTGTCATTTCATGGCTGGGGAGCAAAAGCAAGGGAGAGTGGGATCCCAGTCCTCTGAGGACAGGATTGGCCAGATATAACATTTGACCATCATTTGAGTGTCACCAGGAGAGGGCTTCTACTCTAGTTCTCAACACAGTATTGGCCAGATCTGTGATGTGTCAGCCAGCACCATAGGGAACAGGTCCTCTGCTCTGAGTCCTCTGTGCACAGGCTAGGACACATGCGTGACATGTGCCCACCATCACAGTGTCTCACAGAGCAGGTCCTTGCCCTCAGTCCTCCATGCACAGGGACAGTGGCATATTTCTACTATTATGGCATCTCGCTGAGCAGGTCCTTGTGTGTATCCTCTTCTCCTACCAGCCCTACCAAACCTTGACCTTGTTACTGTCTCTATAGTTTAGGCTCCTGCAGCACTGATGGAGTTGGAATGTCCAGCACTAGCCTTGTGGGGCTTCTCTAATGTGCATAAGTTTCCTCTGTGTCCTTTCATGTCTTGAGAGCTCAGTTCTCTATCACTGAATAACATTTCACTGAACAGAGGTGCCATGGCTTACTTATCCGTTCACCTGCTGTCGAGGGTCCTGGCTGCAGGATAGGCTATGATCCATTATATTCTGGGGTAATTAAAATTCTATGTTTAGGGCTGGGGATTTAGCTCAGTGGTTCTGTCACCTGCCTCACAAGCTCAAGGTCCCAAGTTCAATCTCCCATACCAAAAAAAAAATAAAATCCTATGTTTATTCTTTAATATTTTTTGTAAGCTGTTTCCTTGCTTTTCTTAGGTCACCATAATCTTTTTCAATTTTGATCAAATTCTTTTCCCAGAATCATTACTGACTCATCAACCTACACTTTAGATTTCTGAGGGGGTCTTGCTATGCTGCTGAGGCTCGTCTCAAATTCTGGGCTGCCACTTACTCACAGCCTCCCGAGAAGCTGGGACCACAGGATGGCTCAGTCTGGCTTGATTGTATGGATGGGTCCCAACTGGTTGGGTTCCAAGAGGGAGGGAAGTGAGCAGCAACCAGGAGTCTGTCAGAACTTTTCAGCTATAGATATCTGAGGAACAAAGGGGCTCGGAAGAACCTGGCTAAATCTGCCTGGAGTTTACCTGTTCAGTTCAATTTTGTCAGTTCACAGGTGCTGCTATCATTTTAAACCACTGGGCCAATATTATCCTGCTAGGAGTTGTACTTGTAAAAATCTGACCAGCAACAAGTACAAAGTTTAAAAATATTACATAGAATAAAATTAATAGTAATATGAACCAGCTTTATATACTGTTTTTGAATCATGAACCCAAGTCTGAAGGCAACCAGGTAAACAAATCAACTGACCACAGGGGATTGGATGATATGTGGCTAGATATTAGAGGAAACTAGAAGAATTCAACATCTGCTTCAGATTACAGTAGATTAAAAAAAAAGTCAATGGGCATGGCCACAGTCTAATAACAGGTATAATATAGGTTTTATTTTGGAAACACATTTTAAAAAATTATAGGAGTCCCATTTTTAGAAAATATAACCAAAATAAGAACAATCTGTACAATGAGTTTAGACTCATCAAGCCTAGCCTGATTAAACACATATAGCAAGAAGAGTGACTGAACACACAGAATCTGGGTGTCTAAATCCCCTCAAGGCTAGCAAGAAAACCGAGGCAGATTTTGATGTTTTTACTTACAACAGTCATAGACAATTTTTTCTATTATTTTGACCTTATTTTGACTTTTTTCCTCAAATGAAAAAAATTACTTTTCAAACATTTTTAAAGCCAAAAAATAAACCTTTTTAGATCTCTCTCTTCTACTTACTGGGGGTTTTTTTGGAGTTTCTTTCTAAACTCACATTTTAAAATAATCTTTTTTATTACCTTTGCTTAAACAAGGTTTTTTCTTAAAAGCATGGCATACTATTTTTTATAATTTTTAAACCCAAAATACATCTTTTTGCACTATGTATACAGGATTATAGATGTTAATTAGAACTTCTTTCAGTAGCCTTGATTTTTAGTGATAATTTAGAAAGTAAGCAATTTTGAATTGTCTTTCACATACCAACATTTTATAATACAAATTTCTTAATTTTTGAAACATGCCTTTTCATACAATTATTCAGTGTATGTATGTATATAGTTTGTAATATGTGTATGTATATATAGTTTGTAATAAGAGCCCAAAAGTAAACTAAGATTTTAATTACTAAATAATTTTGTATATATAAACTTTATGCCACCTTGTAACTTATTTTTAAGAATTATTTTGGATTTCTCATGAAAATTTTGTGATCTAGTAGATGAGATTGGCCATATTTTTTTGACAAATCAGGAAAATATTTAAAATACTATAGAAACAAACTCAGGATTAAGAGTTATGCATGCTTTTCCCTCTTACTCCCGTGACTGAAGTACCATGCAATCCATCTTTGGTGTGGGCTCTGCTCTTGGGTGAGATTTATGTCTTAGGGCCTTAAATCATTTCACAGAGAGGAGCACAAACTGTCCTCACCAAAAAACCCAGATGAAAAATGCACGCTTACAATTCTGAGGGCATTTGTATTTTTATTTTATGAACAACTTACCCAAGTCATGTGAACTTGAAAGCATTTAGGGTTAGTTCCTGTTTTTCTGAAAATCTGATTTACAAAAGCATTTCTTTTCTTTAAAGTCAACTCTTTCCACAGGTACCAACAGGACAGCTGTTTAGGATGAAAACTCTCTAAAAAGTAATACTTTTAGATACAAAAATCCAAGTCACCAAAGAAATACCTACTTTAATTGTACTCAAAGCTAATGATGGTTTGATGGCTCCCCCTGACCCCTAGTGTTCCCAGGGAGGGTGTAAAAGATGGAGGCTGCTCTCTTCAGGACCAAAGTTTCTCCCACAGATGGTCCAAGAAAGTGAAGGACCCTCCTTTGTAACAAGGCAGCAAAGGTTCTGGCAACACAGTGTTCCTTGACAACCACACGGAGGCAGAGACAGGGAAACAGGTATTGTTTCTGGGAGGCTGCGAACCATTAAAAAATGGGACTTAGGACCAAATGTGCAAGAGTCCCAGCTCAAGGAACTTATTTTTACAAATGTTTTTCTTTCCTGTCAACCCAAATCTAGAGAAAAAAGGGAGAAGAGGGAGGAAGACAGGAAACTTTTATTTCATTTTCTTTTTCTCAACCAGGCAGAACAGAGATCAGGATCACAGTCTTGGGACCCTGGGGGCAGGCACTGGAGGAAGCAGAGGGCTGCCAGCCTCAGGGTCCCAGCCGGGTCTGGAATAGGAGACACAGTGGAGGGCAGCCCTCGTGTCTCATGGGAACGAGAGCCATGTGAGAAAGTGAAGACTCCAGAGCAATAGGGTCAGGCTCTACACAGACACAAAGACAAGACACCGAGAACCAGGTTAATTCCAGGGTGTCCAGTCAGGAGGCAGTTAACGGGAATGGATATTTACTGCGTATGAGAGGATAGCTGGACCCGAAGTACATTTTTGACAAAGTAGCTCAAGTGACCTGCTCAGATGGCCAGTTTTACCAACACCTTGTGGAAAAGACTTAATATTTCATTTGTCCTTGGTATGCAATCTCGTGGGGACTCCAGACCAAATTCTGGATAAAGCAGTTTCATGGCAGTTTTTAAAATGAAAAGCCACTGCCCCCCACCTCTTTTTAGTTTCTTGCCTCTGAAAGCCTTTACAGTGTCAGATGCATTGTTGCTTCAGGTAAGTCCCTGAGTGTTTACACTTAGATGCCACTGGCTGACTGATTAGGATATGTAAGAAAATTATAATCTCCAAGCAAGCGTTGGACACAGTAACGCCATCCTCTGGTCTGTTTCAGTTCATAAGAGAAGGGTTCTAACTTATTTGGAAATGGCTTACGCATTTTATGAATACCTACTATTTATTAACTTAGCAGTATTGAGGAGTGAACTCAGGGCCTTTACACTGAGCTACATCCCCAGGCCTTTTTTTATATTTTTATTTTGAGACAAGGTCTTGCTAAGTTGCCCAGGCTGGGCTCAAATTTATGAGCCTCCAGCCTCAGCCTCCCAGGTGTGTGCCACCATGTCAGGCTTAACTTTAAGGTTTCAAGTTACCAAAAAGATTTATGTGGGCCGGGGATTTAGCTCAGTGGCATAGTGCCTGCCTGGCAAGCACAAGGTCCTGAGTTTATTCCCTATACCAAAAAAAAAAAAAAAAGATTTTTGAAACTAGTTTTAAGTAGACATATTTTATAAAACACAATATTGAAAAGCCATTTAAAATTTTTAAGCTACTTACATTCACCAAGGTTATTTTTAACAATTATGTTTGAAATGGCCTTTAAACAAAACTAATCATTTAAAGAATTCAGGAAATGCCATTCCAAAATGTGCCTCTTTGACATAAATACTTTTCAGCTCAAAGGAGTCAAGCAGCAGCAAGTGGAGGAACGTTCTATCTTCTCTCCTTTCATCTAAAGAAAGGACATACATTTTTCTTTACTGGTGACAGCTCTAATGTGGCACCAGGAACCCTAAATGAGCCTGGCTTCATTAGTTTATTTTTAGTTTCTTTCCTCTGAAAGCCTAAAGCTGTTTCCCTTTATAGATATAATTTTTTACTAAAGAGTTCTAAAATAACTACATGTCAGAAAGGTGTGTTCAGTGCAGCAGGTAATCTTTCCAACTCGGCTTGTTTCTTGATTAGTGACTCCAGGTACCCACTAATGAGCACAGCAAAGACAGCGCGTCTCTAAGTGTCTGGATTCTGCACAGGGTAACTTTTTAAAAGGCTTGCTTCACCTAAGGGCTTCATGACTATAATTATTTATCTATTTTTTTTCTCTTTGGAGTGGGCAGGTACCAAAAAAAAAAGAAAAAGATTCAAAGTAAGCTGGGAGGAGGACGCATGCTCAAGGCCTCTGCATGCCATTCAGTACACTCAGTAGATCCTACTCTACCTGCTCAGCTCACAGCCAGTCTCCTCACTCAGTCCTAACAAAAATAAGGCAGGAAAGCTTGAATGATCCCCTTAAACTCTCCTTCGTGGCTGGTGTCCACTGGTTTACAGGTGCACAAGAGTAAGCAGAATGCTTGAACATACAGCCAGCTGGAGTCCCTAAAGGAAAGAGTTTGGACATCCCTTGGACTTTGAGAATCCCATTCCACTTTCTCATCCCTTCAAAGCAAAAAAAAAATTCCAAAATCCCTGTCAAAGAATCTAAGTGTCTGGGCACAGGATTCTGTTCTGACAGGGGTGCAGCACAGGATAGTGGTTACTCAGTGGATGGCCTTTGCCCTAGGTGTCTGGCCTGACAGTCTTCCCTGTGCCCTGGGGGGGAGTTATGTTTGTCTGTGACCCAGATAGGAGACTTTAGAGACTCAGGTCCCTCAGATGTGGTGGTGACTGTCTCAATGGCTTTGGGCTGTCTGGCCCGGGCCCACCAATGTGTGTTTATTTTTGCTCTCCAAAAGGCGTTCAGAGACCAGCAGGGATAAAAAAAGTAACTGTCAAATAATTTACAGATGTGTGGTAAGCAACTAAAAATGAACCCAAGTGTACCCAACCACAAAGAACTGACATCACCCCAGAAAGGGCTTTCCAACAGGACAGAGTGTTTCGCAGTCCCAGGAAGGATGAAAGGTCCTTTACTAAGGCAGATCCCAAATGGGTCAGAACTCAACCCAAAAGAAGGAGGACAGGAAGCCACAGGAGATCCACTGAGGTGAAGAGGTCTCAAGGAGGTGGTAGCAGAGGGGCTCGAGTGGGTGCTGCACTTGAGTCCAGGGGCTGCTGGTCCTCCTGGAGTGAGGTTGCTTCAGACCCCACTTCTGACACCAGATCATGTTGACCAAAATTCTCAACAGAACAGCTTTCAAAAAAGAAAGATGGAATCTATTCAAGAACAAACAGGATTATAATCTGGGATAGTGGGCTATCCCACTATCTTGGATAGTGATGGATGATAGACATAACTGGGGAGGCTGAATCAGAGGACTTTTGTTTTCTGAGACAGGATCTCACTATATAGTTCAGGCTGGCCTTGAATTCACTACATAGCCCAGGCTGGCTTCAAACTCACAGTGATCCTCATGCCTCAGACTCCTGAGTGCTGGAATTACAGGTGTGAATCATCATTCCTGGCTAAGAGGAAACTGTTAAAGGCATATGGAGAAAGGTTCTGCAAGTTCTGAAACAACTACCTTAGGCATCAGGCTGAAGAGGGTTTCCTGGGCCGGTGTCCTCACAGAAATAATCACTGCACAGCTGCAAGGATGTGGCCTCTAGAGTCCTTGTCACAGGTATTACTGAAGCATGTGTGTGAGAGCCTCCCTGTGTCCCTGGCCCAAGAGTGTTCATTTTGATTTGATGACTTTCACGAATGTCCTTCTTGAGACAGAAATTTTTACCTTAATGAAGTCCAGCTCAATTCCTCTTTTCATGGACCGTGACTCCTATATCACATCTAAAAAGTCACTAACAAACCCAAGATCACCTAGATTTGTTCCTAGGCTACCTTCTTATCTTACAGTTTTGTTTTTTACAGTTAGATCTGAAATCTATTTTGCGTTAATTTTGTGAAAGGTATAAGGACTAGTTCCAGATTATTTTTTTTCCATGTGATGTCCAACTATGTCAGCACCATTTGTTGAAAAAGAGTCTTTTCTCTATTGAGTGCCTTTATTCTCCTGTCAAGAATCAATTACTCAATCAATCAATTACTGTTTCTGGCTCTCTGTTCTCCTCCAATGAGCTGTTGCTGGTCTCTGTTACTCTACCACTCTAGAGCAAGACTTGGAGCAAGGCAGTGTCACCCTCCAGCTGTGTCTTCTTCCTCCAGGTCTTGTGTCTCCATTTACACTGTAATATCAGTTTGTCGGTACCCACAAAATAACTTACTGCAATTTTGACTGGGACGAGTGAATCTACCAGGTCAGTTGAGATGAACTGATGTCTTGATAATAAAGAGCTTTCTGCTTATATTCTTTGACTTCATCAGTTTTCCTTTCATGGAACTTTTACACATTTTGTTAAATTTATACCTAAATACTTCATTTTGAGGAGTTAATGTGTTTTTAATTTCAAGTTCCAGTTGCTCATTGTTGATATACAGGAAAATGACTGACTTTTGTACATTCATCTTTACCCTGAAACCCTGCTCTAATTGCTTATTGGTTCCAAGGAAGGTTTTTTGTGATGTTGTTGATTCTTTTAGGGTTTTGTTTTTTTTTTTTACAGAGAATAACTGTTGCCTGTAAACAAAACCATTTTATTTTTTCTTTCCTGGTCAGCTTAGTGTGTTAGCTAAGACTTTCAGTGTGGCTCCTGATCTTCATGGAAAGCGCCTAGTTACTCACCATCAAGGGTCATTTATCTGTAACTTTTCTAAAGATGTTCTTCACAAAGCTGAACTTTTCCTCTATTCCTAAGTTATTAAGAAAACAGAATGAAAATACGGTTTATCTGTTCCCTCATAAGCACCAATTTTATTCCAAATAATAACATAATTTTAAGAAAGAATTTTCCTAAGATACTTTTATAAAAAGTAACCCCAGTGTCATAAATTCTGGAAATGCCATCTTGTACATTCTTATTACCTTAATAAAATATTTCAAAAAGTCCATAGCATCTACAGATTTCATTTACCAGGTTGAAAAAAATCTTCCTAGTTATCTGTCATGACAAATGATGTTACTGGTAACTTAGTAAAATTTCAGCTACTTTGGTGATTTTTCTCTTTTACAGATAAGCAACAGATATGTACTATGGATATATAAACAAGCCAGTCTAACGGCCTGTGCTGGAGGCTGGGCAGCTGCCTTTTGTCAAACCCAAATTGAACAGCGTGGAGTTCAGGTTGATGCAGAGGAAGGCATGCTCTGGATGTGTCGTCCTCTGTAACTCTTGAAGCAGCAGGTGAATGGTAAAAAGTTCAAAAAGCTTCTTGTTACTCCTGTAGGAGAGCAAGTATGTTATTTCACTACATACATTTAGGAGATCCATCTAATGAGTTTGAGAGTTCACTCATGAGTAAGTGGAGGAATTAGCTTTTGTTTCTAAAAACAGTGGCGAAAATGGCTGACTGAAGGGCTCAGGTGCCAATATAAATAAAACAGGTTCCATGAGAGAGACTGGGTGGAAAAGCACTGCAGTAAAAGTAGACGTTCTACAGTCCTGAAGACTGCACCTGCTCAGTGCTGGGGATAAAGAATGTTCTTCCCCACAGCTAGAAAGAGAGCCAAAGCCTGAGCGTGAGGAGTGAGCTGACTTTGACAGTGGCCTAGTGTTAGACCACAGAAGACTCAGCTCCAGAACATCCTACCTTAGGATATCTTTCTCATCTCTTTGTCTCCTGAGACCACCACATGCCCTTGCCTACCACCCGCTTACCCACAAGGCTTTACCTGTGTCCCACAGACCCACTGCACACCTGGGGGTACCGCTGCTTCCAGCCCTCTTGTTATGGCTCTGCTCTGGTTCTTCCTCTAAATCTGAAATGAACCTGAGCTACAACAGATCATGGAGAGCGGCATGCTCTGGCTGAAGGATAAATGTGCGCTCTTGGGCTACTTTTTAGAAATCTCATGAAGGAAGGGGTAGAAAACAATTAAATCTGGTTAATGTTACCACAGCCCCTGGCCCAACCAGCCTGAGGGAGGATTCACCTATCATGAGTCAGCAGACTCTCAGCTCAGTCTACAAGCCAAGGGAGGCAGGGAGCCAGTGCATGGACTTGATTCTGGAACAAGACTCATCTGGTGAGCTGAGAATAAGATGCAGCTTAATGACTAGTCATCAACTGCAGCATATGAGGCATGGTGCTAGCAGAGCTTTTACTGTCATCTGCCAGTCCCCTTAATGTGCACTGTGTTCACTACCTGGAACAACGAGACCTAGTGGAAACCATGGGTAAGGGGACAGAACCAAGAAAAGTGGTGAGCCAACACCAAAACTACACTGTGATGAAACAAGATGGGGTAGGTGTCTAGATTTCCCTCAAAGAAAATATTAGACTGTACCGAATTCAAGAAAAACAGAGCTTGAAATCTATGCCCCTTCATTTATGATTTAAAAACTGATCCAACCAATGCAAGAGGAGAAGGAGGAAAGAGAAAGCCCTTGATTCTCAGAAGAAAACCCAAATCAGTAGAAGGAAGCCCCTAAATTCCCTAAATAAACCCAGGTTCTAAAATCATTTAAAATCGCTTTTGCCTGCTTCATTCTCAATCCCCAACTTCCTTCAGCACATTAATAAGGAATTATAAAATACAACTTATTATCCTTCTGATTTTCACATGTGGCACTAGAGAACTCCAGTGTGTAGTGACCTGTCCTGCTATTGGGTTGGTTGCTAAACCATGGTTTTAGACCCCTGGAGTATAGCTCAGTGGTTGAGTACGTGCCCAGCATGTACTAGTCTCTGGGTTCGATCCCTAGCACCACAAAAAACAAGCAGCCTGCTCTTAGTTTTATATCTTATTACATACTATCTATTGTTAAATATTGGTCTCACATAAGCATTGATATTCACGAATCTTAATTTTCTGTATCTGTAGATTGGAATTTTTGATTTCACAATCAAAGCTGAACTGGTTTAGAATTCATTAAGACTTAAATGATCACAATAAGATATACATCAATAAAGGGCCAGGGATTTAGCTCAGTGGTTCCAGCGCCTGCCTTGCAAGCACAAGGTCCTGAGATCAATCCTCTGTACCAAAAAAAACCAAAACAAGATATACATCAATAAAAATGTTAGAAATAAGAAATTCTTACTTGATTTTGGAAAGTTTCTGGAGAATAATACTGAGCTTTTCTAGGATCTGAAGATCAAGCTTAGGGGTTCGAAGCAGCATGGAACACGTACGAAAAAATAAAGAGTTGCTACAGGCTTCCAGGAAAGGCTGCAGGGCTTCTGCAAAACAAACCACCAAGCTTTTATGTCAGGAGCAGCTAAGAGGGAAACTCAAACAAAACCAGAACTGAAGAGGTGATTTACAAGTATGACCTGGAGTTTCATTCCTTCATACTTAAACTTTGGGGGGGAAATCATCACTTGAAAAATTAAAACATTCACTGGCTATCACTGACTATAACTAAGGAAAGAGGAGATTATTTTCCCTAATGTTAAACTTCTACCAGACAAGATTCATTGGAAATCCATTCAATCTGTGGAGAAGGGAAGGGGTTCTGGGATGGAAGAGAAGGGGAAGTAAAAAGGACCAAGATGCACTGTGTGTATGTACCAATTTCCCACGATGGATGTATTAATTATGTATCACAAACATATACTAACAACATTCTTTAAATCCCACGTTTGAAAAAAAGGATGAAAGTCATTTCTTTAAATAAGCTCATAACTAAGCTCAGTTTAGATAACTGGCAATAAGAATTTTTTTTTTGCAGTTGAAAAACAAAACTCTAAATTTAGGGAGTTTTTAAAAACTAAAAAATTTTGGGCCGGAGATTTAGCTCAGTGGTTTCGCTGCCTGCTGTGCAAGCGCAAGGACCCAAGTTCGATCCCCAGTACCAAAAAATAATATAAAATAAAAACCTAAAAAATTTTTAAATTTTTAAAAATTAATAATTAAAATTAAAAGGCAAAGTTCTAGAAAACAAAACAAGCAAAACAAAAGATATATGTTAAGGCCAAGGATTTAGCTCAGTGGCGCTACACCTGCCTTGCAAGTGCAAGGTCCTGACTTTGATCCCTGGTACCAAAAAAAATATATATATATGCTAAATTTAGAAGGGAAGAGGTGTCCTTTTTAAATATTTCTGCCATAAGACTGATATAATTAAAAGAACTCTTGAAATCAAATTTTAAAAGATATGCACCTAGCAGGCACAGCGCCACTGAGCTAAATGCCTGGCCCAGAATTTGGCTCTTAATAGTGTGCATATCCTTTGATTTAGCAATTCTCCCCACTAAGAATATGTTCAATAGATTTGTGCTCACAAAGGTTTATGAATATGAGCCATAGTTTAAAAGCCCTGTTATGGCCAGGGATTTTTTTTTTTAATGGAGAACAAATTTTATTTTAAAAATAGATCTCAGTAACAATGAAATACCAAAAGCTGGTCATTATAATAGAAAAACAAAAGGTAAGAGGAGTTTGCTTTACTTTTTTTCTGAAAATACAGAATTAACTACCGTAATATACTGCCAACTCTCACTTGTTTTATTGGAATTATTCCTTTTACAGATTATCCAAGGATATTTAAAAATCAGTGGCTTCTGCATGATATTTAGACATACATCTAGATTATTTTTATCTTCAAGTAAATACATTCTCAAGAAATACAAAGGAAATTGGGCACTTGCTTACTTAAGCATATTTAGGAAGATTATGCTTAGGAAATGTACCCAAAGGAATACATAATTTTGCATTACTGTTTCTGTAGATTAAAAAAACTTGTATTCAAAGTACTAGTATCTGAAAGTAAAAATTATACTACTTATGTACAGAGAAAAGACATAACTATATTATTTCCAACCCAAAAAGAAGAGGAAACTTCCAAGGCAATGACAATGGTAATTTACAAAAAGTTTTCTAGCTGCAAAGTGCTAAACAAGCAAGTATTCAAGAAAAACTTCAGGCTGGTACTGATATACCAAGAATGTGATTTGTCACCTGCTGCACAAGCACAAGGACCTGAGTTCGATCCCTGGTACCAAAAAAAAAAAGAATGTGAGAAACAAAAGAAGGTAAAAGCCCTCATCACTATAAAGTCTGTTTTAACTATATTTTACAAAGAAGTGAAAGCAGTGGTTGCAAGACCAGTTAAGGCCAAGTTAGCAACATGCAACTTACCCATCAGTCCACATTTCTCTTCAAACTAGCTAACCATGTATGTTTCATAGTTTCCTCCATACTGCATGTGCTATATAAATTTGATCATATCCATATTTTAGAGAAGGATATCATCTATATCACATCAGTTGTCCATAACACACAACAAATAGAAATTATCCTTTTGTAACAAAATTCTTGATACCTGGCATTCTCTGCAAACCAAAAGCTGACCACAAAGTTATATTTTATTCCTATTAAGTGTTGGTACACGTTCCTTAGGAGATCTTAGCTCATTTTTAGATTTGTGGAAACTGGTGTAATTTACTTTGGGCCAGGGATTTAGCTCAGTGGTTTTGCCGCCTGCTGCGCAAGCGCAAGGACCTGAGTTCAATCCCCAGGACCAAAAAAAAAGAAAAGAAAAAAAGCCCTGTTAGAGCTTTCGTGTGTTTATTACAAAATAACATATAAAAATGATTTTAAAGGTGTGAGTCACTAGTACTGGCAGTTAGAGAAACTTGCAAAGAAAAATGTTAAATCGTGGCCTTTAAAATGGTTTAATTCTTGTAAAAAGCTTCTGGGAAAGCCAAGAGGGTCCCACAATGAACATGGCCCTTGTTCCAAACACAGATGAAGTCATGTTGCTGTAAAAGACATAAAAACACCGAGCTCTGAATGCTGCTGTTTCACCCTCATGCACAGCCTGAGAGGTCCAATAGTTGGAACTCAGTTTGGGCCTGGAGAGGCCCTGCCTTCAGGAGGTCAGCCTGCTCCCTGCCCCCTTCCTGGCTGCCCTGAGGGCAGCAAACTGCTCTTTCCCACCCTTCCACCAGGAGGGCCTCACGAATCCTGTACCAAAACCCTGGAAACCATGGGCCAAGCAAATCTTTCCTCCTTCCAGCTGTTTTCTCAGGACTTGATCACAGCAATGGAGGCTGACAAACAGCAGCCAGATCCGAAATCATGCTGAGTGTGGTGCACACCAGCAGCAAAGCACCAGATAGTCAGGACCACTCAGTGCAGACAACCATCAGTCTGAGAGAGGATGAACTCGTCCCCTTCACCACAGGTGTCAGCCCAAGTGCAGCCTCCACCTCACTGGAGGTGGAGTCATGCACATGTACATGAGGCATACACATGTACCACAAGTGAGTGAATTTTTTTTTTTGGTACCAGGGATCAAACTCCAGACCTTGCACTTGTGAGGCAGGCCCTGGAACCACCGAACTAAATCCCTGGCCCAAGTGAATCTTAATCTCAAGTCACACACTCTTCTCCTCTTTTTAATTTTTTTTTTTTTTTGGAGATGGGATCATATGTAGTTTACACTGGTCTTAAACTCACTATATAAACTGGCCTCAAACTGGTGGTGATCCTCCTGCCTCAGCCTCCCCAGTGCTGAGATTACAAGTGTGCAACACCACATGCAGCTAACAGAGTTCTTAAAGACTGAAGACTTAGGTTATAGATACAGTACACAATATGCAAGCAGAATTATAAATATATTAATTGAAATTTCAAGCTGCTTCATTAATTATAGTTTCTTATTTTGTATTCTGAGACATGTGGTTCATGTGAATTGTGCAGAAGAGAGTTTACTATGGGATGGCCAACAGAACTGAAATCAGCAGGACAGAACAATTTTAAGTCATAATCAGATCACTGACTGGAGCTTTTGGCACACCTAACAAACCTACGGTCCACACTACTGATATTTTTCATCTAAAAGCCTAAAAGCACACCAAGAAAGTTTGGTTCATATGTGTGCAGACTGCAAAAGCAAGAAAGGTACTTTGAGTTCATGGGGTCTTAGCTGAACAACACACATACATTTGAAGATTATAAAAAGTACCAAATAATTTAATCCCCAGTACTGCAAGAAAAAAAATGAAATAAAATCCTAAACATTACCAAATAAAGTGCAGGTGCTTGCATGACTTCTGTAAGGGAAAAAGCTAGGACCATCCACAGATCTGAATATATCAGTACCTTCAAGCAGTGAAGTCTGTAAAGGTCTTGTAGAAACAAAGCGTTCACTGACTTGGCTCCCATCTCTTTCTGAAAGCTGTGAAACTCGTGAAATAGAGAGAAGCTCTGGGATCCTGGTATGAGTTAGGTCATACGGTTAACACACTTCAGTTTTACCTTTTTTTTTTTTTTGTACTACAATGTTCAAATCAATTACACTTTTTAAGCTCAGAAGAATTTCAATTTGAATTAACTTGGTGTCACAGACTGTGTCTTCTCAAAGTTTGCTTATTCTTTGGGTGACAATCAGGTCACGATGCTGGAACTTCACCCTTGGGCCCAGTGCTTGCCTGAGGGTGGCATCTCCCCAGATCCAATGCTGGAACCCAGCCAGGGACGGTGTAAAGAGGTGAGACCTCGGGGTTGATTTTGTCACCACTGAGGGGTGCAGGGATCAGCTGTCTCCTGACTTCTGGAAGTAGCAGAGACAGTACAGAAAGTCACCAAGCCATCCTGATCCAGCGCTGGGCTGGCACCTGCAGGTGCCAGGACTCAGCCACAGGAGTGCCCCTGGGACTGGAGTGAGGGACAGGTGCACATCAGGGGAGCAACTAAGAGACCACAGGATCACGAAAAATTAGTAACTCGAATGGAGATGCCACAGTGAGTCTAGGGTTGAGAACTGAGTATAACTGCATATAAAGCTGTAAAACTAAAGAAAATAAAACTAGCATGAAGTGAATGTGCAAACTGTGGTCACAAGACAGAATGTAAAAATATCAACTGCAATAATTTAACTTCTAAATCAGAAAGTACAGAAGAGGGGATACAAAGGTAACAGTGCTAAAGTCTCATCTTCTCATCTGGAAGTCAGTCAATGCTGTCTAAAACTGGGCGTTTTATACCAAAAAAAAAGAGTACACTAAAAACAGTTAAAATGAGAAAGAGTACACTAAAAATAGTTACAATGAAAATTTGAGGGTGGGGTCTCCCAGGGAAATCAAGGTGTCCTCTGACTTCTCTGAGGCAACAGCCAATACCTAAAGAACAGCAACACAACCCTGCCAAGTTCCGAATGAACACAGGGAGTCCCTGACTGCCCCCACTTCGGGCTCCTGAGGACAAGCGCTGGGCAGTTGGCCCTCCAGGCTCA